CCCTAATAATTAATTAAGTATGTGTTTTGCTAATTTTTTATGTTTTCTGATTTCCTCCAGGAAGATGTGATCAGGATGTGGTCTTCCCTCTTCACTCTCCTTATTGCTTAACTCAGAGTAACTTTTTGGGGCCTCAATTGGGCCTCGGCCTTGGCGGAGGGCCGTTTGGGCCTCGGGTGGGTGGGTCGAGCCTAGGGGGGACAGTTTGGGCCTCTGGGTGCCTGGGTGTCAGCGACCGGGCTGCAGGAGGGTTGGCCTCAGGTGGGTGGTTTGGGTCTCAGGCTGGTGGTTTGGGCCTCGGGTGGGTGGTTTGGGCCTCAGGGGGCCTGGGTATCCGCAGCTGGGCATAGGGCAGCTTGGGCCTCAGTGGGCAGGTGGGGCTGATTGGGCCTCGGGGGGCCTGTGCCTCGGGGACTGGGCTGAGGGCGGGTTGGGTCTCAAGGGCACTGGGCCTTGGAGACAGGGCTACGCGGCGGGTTGGACCTCAGGGACCCTGGACCTCAGTGACCTGGCTACGTGGTGGCTTGGGCCTTGGGGGCCCTGGACCTCGGCGGCGACCCAGCTGTGGACCACCTGGGCCTCAAGGCGGGTAGGCGATTTGGGCCTTGGTTGGGCCTGGGCCTTTGTGACCAGTCTGTGGGCGGGTTGGGCCTCAGGGCAGGCCTTGGCCTCATTGGGAGTGTTTGGGCCTTGGGAGGGCCTTGGTCTCAGTAGGCGGGCCTGTGCCTTGCACGTTCCTGAGCCTTGGCTGCTTGGCAGAGGGCTGGTCTAGGCCAGGAAAGTAGAGAGCTGGGGGTAGTGGCTGCAGGGAGGTAGTGTCCATATTTGATGATGTAAAAAGTGCCTCTCTCAGTCTCTTTGTACCATGGGTACCCCGAATTTCCTGATATCTATGCCGATATCCCTCTCTATTTGTTCCGCTTTATTAGTTTGTGCTTCCTTTTCTCTGGAAATGCAGCCTTCTAAGTGAGGTTGCTCTAGCCCTGCATTCCAATGTCTGCAGGGGGTAGAGGCACTTGCCGGCACGGGCGCAGAAGCGGGAGCCATGTGCAGGCAGGCAAAAGCTCAAAATGCCTGTAATTCCTCAGCAATTTGATCTTTTAAAAAAACGAGTTCAGAATGTAGAAATATAGGATCTTATGTTTGTTCAAAGGCTGTCTGTCTGATAGACAGAGGTTTCTAATGTGTGATTCTGCCTCTTTTTCCCAAGACTGCCCTACCTGAGCTGCCTGGTCAGGGAAGAGCCGGAAGTCCTCTCCATGCAGTCTTTTTGATGATTTGAAAGCTACCTCTACCGCTGTATTCCCTGACTCGCTCAAATTGCACTGGACATTCGACTGGAATTCGAGGCCCAAATTCTTATTTCTGTCTGATTTCACACTTGTTTCCCTTTTCAGCACGCCCCTACCCTTTTCCACCATATATTAACTCTGTAACTGGTCCTTCTTGAGCTCTCACTTGTAAACTTGGAGGCTCAGGGGACCCCCTTGCAGCCCTGGGAGCTAAGTGTTTAAAACTTCTTAATAATAAGTTCTTATGATTATCTCGTGTCCTTCTAGAAAATCTATTAAGATTACCCCTTTGAGTCCCCCAAAATAGTTGCCATAACCTTCTGAGCTGACCTCTCAGAATGTATCCTTCAAAACACATACCCTTCAAAGCCACTATTTTGATTGGATGTTTTTTTCTTTTTCCTTTTTCTTCTTAAGGTACCATAAGGATTACTGGGAGAACTTATTTACAGCTATCCACTAGTTACAGAGACATGTTTTAAAATGTTTTGCTTGTAATAAACCTGTGCATTTAAGAAATGGAACCTTAGTATCAATATATATATATATATTTTTACTTGTCTTGATATATACACGAGAACTTCAAAAAATTCATGGAAAAATGGAATGAAAAAATATGTCTATGAATTTCATAAAGTTTGAAACACACAGGTATAATCAGGAAAGTAGGCAAAAAGGATTCAGAATCCCAGCAGGGAAAAATATAGCCTAGCTGGAAATTAATTAAAGAAAATTAAGATATAGTAAAAGGAGCCTTGGTAGTGTAGTAGATTATGATCTGGACTGCTAGCCTAAAGGTCAGCAGTTTGAATCTTTCACTTGGTTCATGGGAGAAAGATGAGGCTTTCTGCTCCTAAAAAAGATTTACAGACTCAGAAACCCTATACAGGGTCACTATGAGTTGGAACTGACTTGGTAGCACACCACCACCACCACCACCACATGTATTAACCATTAATCTAGTGAAAATAAATGAAGTCCAATATTGGTTGGGCAGTAAAAATAAAAACATATTGAGACATCATAGAATTTAGTTAGGTTATTGTAAAGTAATAGATTTTTCTAAACAATAATTTGGTCATATGTATCAGATCTCCAAAGCTATTCATACTCTTTTATCCAAAATTCCATTTCTGGTATTATGCTCCAAAGAAATTATTTAAAAGAAAAAGTGATCTATACAAAGGTGTTTGTACAAACATAAAAATGTTTTTCAAATAAAGGAACAATTATTATTATTTAAGTCCCAACTAAGAACTTTTTCCTTATTTAATTAAAGTAGTCAAAACATTAAAGTTCAATATTCCATTCATAATTTTTTTTTCAGCTTAACATATGTCATTTATAACTCAGGAAAAATTTTGAATTTTTTTAAAGCTTATTATTGTGAACTAGGAGAAGGTTTACAGAACAGATCATCAGTTTTCCATTTAACAAATCATACAAACTTCATTTCATCTCATTGATTACAATCTCCTCAGTATAACATACATTATTTTACTTCATCCCTGTGTTTCTTGTTTCCATTCCTCTTCCTTTCACAAACCTTCTGAACTTTTTTGTCCTTGGTAAATTCTGTCCTTTTTATCTCAAATGATCCACCATTCTATGGTGTGTGCACCTCACTAGTGTTGTTGTTTCTATAGACCTATCTATTACTTACTTGGAGTCCTGCTGTGACACTGTGGGTTAATGCGCCAGACTGCAAAGCCATTTGAACTGTAAGGTCAAGCTCACCAGTCACTCCTCAGAAACCCTATACAGGGTCGCTATGGGTCGGAACCGACTTGATGGCACTTAACAACAACAACATCTATTACTTGGCTAAAAATTGAGCCATCTGGTAAGTTCCATCCCATACTGGAAGTGTGACCAAGGCCATAGTCTCGGGGTTCTACCAGTTTATCTGGCAGGTAAGCAATTATTTTAATGTGATGGAAAACAAAGCTATTTTAATATGTGGAAATATTTATATACAATAATAAGTGAAAAAACAGTGGTGTGGTGCTGTGGGATAAGCACTGGACTGCTAAATACAATATAAATGGTTCAAACCCACAAGTTGCTCTCAGAAACCCTATATAGGTTTGCTCTGAGTTGGAACTCATTCAATAGGACTTAACAACAATACATATAATTGTGAAAATATTTGTGGACACTAACAAATTAGAAAATAATTAGTTGAGTTTAATATTTATTAAGTTCTTACTTTCATAAAGTTGATTCATCTCATAATAAAAAGAATTGAATATTATGGAATTGAAAGACAAGAAAAACTTGGTGTTTGAGAGGAGTCAGAGAGTCCTGTTTGATTATCATATTTACATGAGTACAACTGGTGAAGAAATATCTCTTTTTCCTTAATGGAATTATAGCTGTCATAGAGCAATTTTGCTATTATGAAAGTGATGCATTAGTAGAATTCTGAAGGGTCACTCATTTGACTGATAGTCATGAGTCATTGCCTCGTCTATCATGCCTTCCTTGACTTCCCCAAGTACACTTATCTTTTTTATCCTTTGTGTTTTTTATGGTACTTTGCAAATAGCACAATTGCGACTGGACCACAAAGTTGGTTCGAATCACAAGGTTGGTGGTTCAAATTCACCAGCTGCTTCTCAGAAACCCTATACAGTTATCACTATGAGTCAGAACTAATTCAAAGGCAAGTAACAACAACTATACATTTTTACATTTTATTTATCTATTTATCACACAATGTCTATTTAGCCCAGTAACTAGAACACAATAAATGATTAATGACTGCTGAAGAATAAATGAACAAATGAAAGGTCATATCAGGAAAATAAACTTGAATCTGCAAAATTTTATCTCATTCATTAAACTTAGGACCCATTAGTCTTTATTTCTTTGGCCAGGAAATAACTTAGTAACCCCAAAAGGAGTCTAGGCTTTGAAATAGTAAGTAGTAAGGAGTTTGCTTCTGTCCGTTGAGAGAAATGCCATGATGCAGACAGATTTTCAAAAAAAGGGAAGAACATGCTAGTTAATCATAAACTTGGAGTAAAAATACAATACAGCCTGATAACAGTCATGCAGTATTACCAAAGCGTACATGATGGTGGTGGTGTGCTGTTGAATTGGTTCTGACTTATAGCGACCCTCTATAGGGCTCTTAGGCAGTAAATGTTTGTGGGAGCAGAAAGCCTCATTTTCTCCCCTGGAGACACTGGCAGATTTGAATTGCTGACCTTGCAGTTATCAGCTCAATGTGCAACCACTGCTCTACCAGGGCTCTAAAGAGTGCATAGCGCACCTAAAACTAACAAGCCTTTCCAGGATATATAAGCTTGAAAACTTGGATTCCAGAAGCTCTAAATTACTTCTGAGATACAGTTTAATAAAATAATGTAAGATCAAGGATAAAGAAAAGGAAAGAAACTAGTCTATATTAAATGATGTTTTGATTCTAGCATGCTGGTCAATCTCCTTACCTAGGCTGGAATAAATGTGGCTGAGAATACGAGCTGGTTGAACTCTGATGGGGTGCACCTCAGCAATGGTCTCCACATCAATTCCTTTGTCCTTCAAAATGGCTTTTATCTCTTCTGTCTCAGCCAAAATTGAAACTATAGAGAAAAAAAAAGTCTATGTCAACAGATTTATTTTTTTCAATTGGACTCTAAAAGCTCTCAAGTCCCTTTGAAGAGAAGAAAAAAATAAAAGCAAAAGAAATGAGCAACCTTGATGAAACAGGTATTATGCCAGTACTAAACAAATCCTGGTGTGGCACTGTGGGTTAATGCGCTGGACTGCAAAGTTGATTTGAACTGTAAGGTCAGTGGTTCAAGCTCACCAGCCGCTCCTTGGAAACCCTATACAATGTTGTTATGGGTTAGAATGGACTCTACGGCACTTAACAACAACAACAAAAACAATATTAAGAGTCCTTGTATGGTGCTGCAGGCTAATACGCTGGACAGCAAGGTGGATTTGAACCACAAGGTTGGTGGTTCAAGCTCACCAGCTAATTCTTGGAAACCCTATACAGGGTTGCTATAAGTTGGAACTGACTCAAAGGTACTTAACAACAACAACAAGCAATATTAATCGAAAAGAAAAAGGAAATAGTACTATAGTCTGTTTTATCAGTGCTGTTGTTAAGTGCCATTGACTCAGTTCTGACTCCTAGTGACCCTGTATAGAGTTTATCAGGAGCACCTGGTGGGTTTGAACCGTCAACCTTGTGGTTCACAGTCCAGTGCTGATACTACAGCACCACACTATATATCTTTTATATCAGGGATTCTATTTTTCAACAGGCAAAATCCATCATGAAGCATCAGTAAAAGGTGATTCCCCATACTCTTTCATATCAGGACACTTATTAGGGGCAGAAATGTGAATGCAATAATAAATAAAAAAAACAAACCTCAATGATAGAATTGCCCTATAGCCAGAGAATGGAAGAAGACAGGATGAGATGGGGATAAAGAGTTATGCAATCAGTATAGAGGAGGTCCAATAGTTGAAATTGTGTGTGAGATATTTTGGAGGTGGGGAAATGGGAACTCAGAGGCTGCAAAGTCTCTACAGCTTCCTTTTCTTACTCATGTTCTCATGTCACAGAAGTGGTAAGCCTACTCACAAAGGAGGAGGCCAGGCCAGCTCTTAGACTCTTATCTTTAGTTTCCCTCTATGTGACAGCTATCTGACTGGGGGCTATTAATCCAAGGGATGTGAACACTGGACTGACACTAAACACCAGGGTCAAACATGCTTTCTAAATATGTTCTCTACTCCTGTTCTTCTAGAACTGGTAGATATATTGGACTGAGTTTATAGAAAAAACAAATGCAGTACTTAGTTCATTTCAGCTTACCAGAATTCTCTATATTTTTTTGGGGGGGGGGCAGTGGGGACAAAAGCCTAGTTAACAAAGTACAAAGCACTACTTTGTTTTCCTTTTTCATTATCCTTTTCTATTTTGAGACCCTCATGGTGATAGGCTGCTGTGGTCTGGGGCAGGATATGGGGATTTTAGAATGTCCTGGAAAAAACACCATCTTGATTACTTCCAATGAGAAACATGAAAATGAAAGTGATTTTCCATGGAAAAATGTTCAGCGGGAGAATGATAGTGGACTGAGAATAATCTAGAAAACCACATCCATCCATTCAATCAGTAAACATTTACTGAGCACACTGATGTATGAGGTACTTACTATATTGGTGGTGGTGGTAGTGTGCTGTTAAATCGATTCCGACTCATAGTGACCCTGTATAGTGTTACTGAGGGTGTAAATCTTTATGGGAGCAAAGAGCCCCATCTTCTGTGAAACAGCTGGTAATTCTAACTGCTGACCTTGTGGTTAGCAGCCAAGCTCCCAATCTACTACACTACCAGGGCTCCTTTACTGGGCACTGGATATATAAAGATGAATAGGTTAGTCTCTCCCTTAAGGAATTTAAAGTATAATGCAAATGGCTCACATAAGTTTATTATAAAATAACTTTCTCGATCCATAAATATATGCACAAAATATTATGAGATCATCCAGGAGTGGCACCTATCCAGTCTGGGGTTGAGTGGAGAGGTAGTTTCAGGAAAAGCTTCCTGAAAGAGTTGATGTCTAAGCTGAAATTTAAAGATGTTTAAGAGTTAATCAGGAAAAATAAGAGGATAGGAATGGGAAAGCTATTTCAGGTAAAGGGTCTAGTATGAACCTTAAGCACAGAGATGAGAAAAAGTATGATATGAGGAAGGGAAAACTATATACACCTCAATATACAATATAGCATGAAGTACCTTGCATAATGGCAAAAAATGAATCTGGAAAGGTAAACTAGAGTTCTAGTATATCATGGAGGACATTACATGTCACTTGAAGGATATTGCATTTTATCCCACACTGTTATACTGAGCCTTGGAGTTTTGCAGGTGCCACTGTAGTTGGTAGTAGGAATAAATGGACCAGAAGGAGAGACAAGTGAAAACCACTCTGCGACCCCAGGAACATTTCAACTCCAACACTTCTGCTTTGTTTACATTTTAGAAAATACTTATTTAGTGTATCCTATATACTCCTGGTAGCGTAGTGGTTATGAATCAGGCTGTGAACCGCAAGGTCAGCAGTTCGAAACTACCAGCTGCTCCACGGGAGAAAGATGAGGTGTTCTGCTCCCGTAAAGATTAACAGCCTTGGAAATCCTGTGCAGGGTTACTATGAGCCGGAACTGACTCCACAGCACATAACAACAACAACAACATATGCTCCTGGTAGTGTAGTAGTTACGAATCGGGATGCTAATCTCATGGTCAGCAGTTTGAAACTATCAGCTATTCCACAGGAGAAAGATGTTTTCTGCTCCCGTTAAGATTTACAGCCTCGGAAACCCTGTACAGGGTCATTATGAGTCAGTCAGAACTGACTCCATGGCATATAACAGCAACAACAATATGTTTCTGGCATGGTGCTCTAAGATCAGCACTGGACTGAGATCTGCAAGGATGGCAGTTCAAATACTGGCTGCTGCTTGGAAACTTTATACCAGGTCCCTATTAGCCAGAACCGATTCAATGGCACTTAACAACAACAACATGTCCTTGTTAAGAGTCTCTGGGTAGTGCAAATGGTTATATATATGACTACCACTGCAAAGTTGGTGGTTCAAATTCACTCAGAGGTGCCTCAGAAGAAAGACCTGGTGGCCTATTTCCAAAAAAACAGCCATTGTGAATCCTGTGGAGCACAGTTTTACTCTGACACACATGGGAGTTGCTATGAGTTGACTTGATGGCAATTGGTCCTTCCTGACAGCGTTCAATGTATGAGAGACAAAGTCTCAGCATCCTCGTTTCTAAGGAACATTCTGGCTGTACTATACAAGCTGATCCTCAGAAACCCTATACAGGGTTGCTATGGGTTGGAATCGACTCAACAGCACTTAACAACACCAACAACAAGGAGTTCTGGTAGCGTAGTGGTTATGAATCGGACTGCTAATCTTACAGTCAGAAGTTTGAAACTATCAGCTGTTCCATGGGAGAAATATGAGGCTTTCTGCTCCATAAAGATTTACAGCCTCTGAAATCCTGTACAGAGTCGCTATGAGTTGGAACCTATTCCACGGCACATAACAACAATAACAACAAGGTACAATAAATAGCTCTAAGGTTTGGACATAAGAGTAAATGGCTAAAAAAGAAGTATAGGGAATGCTCACTATAGCTATGGATACTGGATTGCATCTATATAAGTGCTAAAATCTAGAACTATGGCAGGAGTTGGAAAGGAAGATAAATGCTACACATCAGGTCTAAAAATCTTTAATGAATGACGTAGAGCAGCTAGGTCACTATAGCCCTATAGCATAAACCTTAAAGGAGAGCAAGTTTTCTAATGAGAGAGGAAAAGTAGTATGTTATATGTATTATATAATGTCGTACTCTGGAATAAGCACAGAACTGCTAACCAAAAGTCTGAGGGTTCAAACCCATAAATCACTCCTCAGAAGCCTGATACAGGCTTACTATAAGTCAGAACTGACTCTACAGCACTTAACAACAACAACAATAACAACGTTTGTTATAATATTAATAAGCAAAGATTACCTTTATGACCATATAGGATACTAAGTACAAGAAAGGTTTAGGAAATGCACAGGATTATTTTCTAAATGGAACCATCTCCAAAGTGAAGTGTCTGAAGACATTTCAAAGGAGATTTGCAGCAGAACTTAGTAAGAAATTGGATATTGATACTGGAAATTAAAAACAAAAATAAAGCACCTAAAGTTTTCTTCCCTAGGAGAATAATAATA